CATGGTTTTCACAATTACTTGCTATGCATCAAAAAGCTGGACAAGGACCAAGGAGGACAGAAGAACTGAAGCCTTTTAGTTGTGGTGCTGGTCAGAGTCCTGAAGATACCACTGACCACCAAGAAAACAAATAGGTCTCTCCTGGAGAGGGTGAAACCAAGTTTCTTCTTAGAGGCAATTTGGGCATGTGGCCAGGAAGGACTGATTCTTGGATAAGGACATCCTTGGAAGAGCAGAGGGACAGCACAGGAGAAGAAGACCCTGGATGAGATGAACTAATACAGTAACTAGGGCAATGGGTCAGGTGTATTGGAGTCAGTGAGACTGGCTCAAGACAGGGCAGCCTTCAGAGCTGTTGGAGATAGGGTCACTATCATCTGTAGGCAACTCAACGGCACATAACAACAAGGTCTGATGGGACCAAAGTCTTGGGAGATAAGGTCAACTGTCACAAAATAGTCCATAAAAACAATGTTCCACATCTTTGCTTGGCAAGAAGTGAATGGGTATTAAAAGTATCTGGACATGTATGCAAAAGTAAATTATCAGTCTTACCCTGTCTACAAGTAATAGATAAGAAAAGCAAAGATGTATAGAAAAAAAATTAATCCAAAGGACTAATGAATCAAGTGAACCTCAACTCCATGATCATGAATACTAGACAGCGCCCAATGGATTAAAGGGATTAAAAGGATCAAAAAAGGAAGTCTTAGATGCAATCGAAGAAAAATGGGGAACAAAATTCAAAACCCTCAAATTGGCCAGGATTACTGATCTGATTACACTTGATTGTGCTTATGTGAAACCTGTGTTTGGACCACAAATCAGTCATCAGAACAGAAACACTGCATGGTTCAAAATAAGGAAAGGAATACACCAGGGATGCATCCTATTTCCGTACCTTTTCAATCTATATACAGATCATTCAGGAGGCTGGGCTCTATGACAAGGAATTTGGGATCAGAATTGGAGGAAGATGTATATTATTTAGAATAACCTATGTTATGCAGAAGACACAAACTTGCTTGGTGAAACGGAGGATGGAGAAGGTCAAGAACTTCAATATGGATTGAAGCTCAACATCAAGAAAACAAAAATTCTCACAAGTGCGCCAACTGGCGCTTCATGATACATGGTGAAGATCATGATAGACTGGTGCATCATGATATATGGAAAAGAGATTGAGATAGTTAACAGCTTCACGTTTTCTTGGCACCTCAATCAACACTCTTCATACCAGCAGCCAGAAAAGCAAGAGACGAACTGCACTAGGAAAGTATGTTGTCAGGGGACTGCCCTTGAGTACTGAAGAGCAATAATGTCTGTCTGGAGACTAAGGTGCAACTAATCCAGGCTATGACCTTCTCAATTAATTGCTATGCATCAGAGAGTTGGACAATAACTACAGACGATAGGAGGAGAATTGATGCCTCTGAGCTGTGGTGCTGGAGAAGAATATTAAATATACCATGGACTGCTAAGATAAAATACAGGTTCGTCCTAAAAAGGGAAAAACTAGGCTGGTCCTTGAAGGCAAGGATTCTGAAGCTCCATCTGACATACTTTCGGCATGTTGCAAGGAGAGACCAGTCCTTTGAGAGGGACACAATGCTGGGCAGGGTGGAGGAACAGCACAAGAGAGGAAGACCTTCAATAAGATGAACTGACTTAGTGGCTGGGGTAATGGGGGTAGGTGTGTCAGAGACAATAAGGTTGGCTCAAGATACAACTGGGTTCTGAGTTGACGTACATATGATCACTATGTGTTGCAGGACACTTGCCAATACATAACAACAACTGATCTCATAGACTGGTAGAATACTTGAGGCTAGGGTTTTTAATTACTATTCAGAATTGGAAAAAACCTGTTGTATAATTGATTCACTGGCAACTAACAACATCAGCCAAACTATACACATTATTACAGAGTGATTAATAATAGTAAGGAGATACACCCTCCTTAGAATTGCCAACAATGGAAAGGCAAACAACAAGCATTTATCCAAGAATAAAGCTTTCAAGGTAAATAGTTGGAGGACAGAAGGATTAATTGAAAATAATAGGAAGTAGAAAATTGATTACTTTGTTGACATTAAAATTAATTTCCTGAATCAAAACGCATATCAGGTCAGCCGAGGTCTCCGTGCGAGGCAAATGCATGGGTTGGTGCTGTGGCCATGGAGCCGCTATGGGCTCGCAGGCCCCGGGCCCCAGTGGCGCAAGCACAGGCCTAGAATCAGGCACCTCTGAGTGAAGTTCTCCTGTCCCCGGTTCCAACTTCCTCCCTGTCCAGCTGAGCCCCCTGACTGTTTAGGGGAGAGAGCTAGCCCTTCCTGCTTGGGCTCCGGGCCTGGCCCTTCTGCATAGAGGCCAGGTGCGGAGAAGGGCCGCCGTCATCTTTGTTGACATGTTTTGCTCACATCCCCGCCTCACTTGTCCACAGAAGGATCGAAACTTCAAGATGGCTGACCAAGACCCTGGGGACATTAGCCTCCTCCAGCAGATGGTGGCTTCAGGCACTGGGGCGACAGTCATCTCTCTCTTTATGACACCCCTGGACCTGGCGAAGTTGCGGCTACAGTCCCAGAGCCCCTCAGGAGCCAGTGAACCAAAACCTCCCTTTAGACTGTGGAGCATCTCCTACACCAAACTGTCGTCCCCTCTCCAACCTGCTGGGAAGTGCCTCCTGCACTACAATGGAGTCCTGGAGCCAAACGGGGCCCACTGTGCCAGCTGGTTTCAGGTTCACACCCACTTCACTGGCACCATGGATGCCTTTGTAAAGATTGTGAGGCATGAAGGCACCAGGACCCTCTGGAGTGTTTTCCCAGCCACCATGGTGATAACTGTGCTGGCCACCGCCATTTACTTCACTGCCTATGACCACCTCAAGACCTTCCTGTGTGGGTGAAACTTGACCTCTGACCTCTATGCACCCATGGTGGCTGGCGCTATGGCCCGATTTGGAACAGTGACTGTGATCAGTCCCCTTGAGCTGGTGCGGATGAAGCTGCAGGCTCAGCATGTGTCATACTGGGAGCTGAAGGCCTCTGTCAGGCTGCAGTGGCTCAGGGAGGCTGGGCGGTCTCTGTGGCTGGGCTGGGGGCCCACTGCCCTTCGGGATGTGCCCGTCTTGGTTCTATACTGCTTCAACTACGAGTTGGTAAAGAGCTGGCTTAAGTGGGTCCAGGCCAAATGACCACACATCTGTGGGCATCAGCTTCATAGCTGGCGGCATCTCAGGGACGGTGGCAGCCATCCTGACTCTGCATTTTGATGTGGTGAAGACTCAGTGCCAGGTCCAGCTGGGAGCGATGGAGGCCATGAGAGTGAGGCCTCCACATGTGGACTCTACCTGGCTGCTGCTGTGGAGGATCCAAGCTGAGCAAGGGACCAAGGGACTGATTGCAGGCTTCCTCCCAAGGATCATCAAGGCCGCCCCCTCCTGTGCCATCATGATCAGTGCTTATGAGTTTGGCAAAAAGTTTTTCCAGAAACTCAACCAGGAGTGACTGCAGGGCCCTTAAAAGGGGCCAGGGATTCAAGACCCACCCACATCTGCTTCATGGATGGATGTAGGCAGGAGACTGAGCCAAGTGCCTTTTCCTCAGCACTGAGGAGTGGGGAGCTGCTTCCCTTTGTCCCTCTGGGTGCTCAGGACCCCCCCCCACATGGCTTTCTTTCTGCTGCTCCCCATTCCTAAGGCTCAAGGAGCATCACTTTTCTATCTCCCAAGTTCAAGACCACATCTGCTGTCTGCCCACACCTTCATTTCCCTGGGTTTTGTTTTTTTTTGGTGTAACTGGACCTGCCCCCAGGAACCAAACACCCTGGCTAGGCCTGCCTCAGTCTTCCCTACTTCCATTAATTCCTTACAACTTAAAAAAAAACCTCATATCAATGATTCAATGAAAAATGATTACTAAAATTTTACTTAAAAAGCAATTAAAATAAATTTTTTTACAGACAAAAATAGATTTTGTACAAGAATGACATGTAGAAGACAATAGGGAACAAAACAGATAATTTAATAGAAAAGGAAATTTCAGACGGAGAAATATAGAAATTAAGGTTACAATGTAACCACTGTAATTGTCATAAAATGAAATGTGTAAGAAAGTTAAAAGAAAAACCAGTATCCACAAGTTAGAAAGAAGTGGAGAAATTGTAATCCAAATCCTTTGCTAGAAGAAATGTAAAATAGTATATAGAAAGACAAAGAAAGCTCTTTAGCATTTCATCAAACTGTTAAAAACACAATTGTAAAAATGAATTATTCAACTCATGGTTTTAGTCCAAAATAAAAAGAAAACTCATGTGACTAAAACGATTACAAATACTATTCCTCAGGAAAGAAATGTAACATCTACAAAATGAAATATCAAACAATAATCTATTTTTAAAAACCAGCATCATCCACCTATATGATATTGAAAAGGCACCAAAGACACAAATAGGCATAAAATGAAAGGATGGCTTAAGGAACACTGAGCTTCAGAGTTAATAGAAAGGCTGGAAACAGGTAATGGTAAGAATGGAACAACATAATGAATGTATTAATTTTATCTCCTACAATGGAATTCACAGCCTCTCAATAGTTGCTGCGCAATCAGCTATAAATTGGTTACATGACGATACAGAGAATATATTCAAATATCTATCATTCACTCACTGTCACCAAGTTGGTTCCGACTCCTACGTGACAATTCATTGTGGAAAGAGAACAGAAGGAGACTACACATCTTTCTCCCTCAAATACCCTGATGGATACAAAATGCCAGAGATGCAGTCTTTGAATTATCAAGGCAAGACTCTCTGAACTATAGACCACCAGAGTTTGCTGTATTTATATACATTCTTTTTAGTATATGTGCTGCCGAAGCGAGCACATACATTCTTTTAAAATTAGTAACTTTTTATAATTAGGTTCAGATCAAAGTACTAATTATTTTATCTATTCCTAAATTTTCTCTTTTTCTTACAAAAATCATAATACTTACCTTGTTCTGGGCCTCTGTTCATCTTCAGATTCACTAACTTCTTCACTAACTCCTAATTCCTGAAAATCAGAATCTTCTGAATCATCACTGCTCACTTGAAAAAAAATTAAAAGATATTAACTTATCAAAAGTTCCCACAAAAACAGAATATTTATTAAAAAAATTCACATTAACACTTAGAGCACTATAAAAAATATCTGTGATATATGTATTAAAGGGCATTACAGGATAAAAAAAAGACACTCAAAGCTGGCAGTCAAAACCAACTGATAGTGGATCCAAGAAGAGGTTGTTTGAGGATATATATATATATATATCACCTGAGAGACTCCAATCTCTCTGTCCCAAGACCAAATGCTACTAATATCCTATTCCTTGATAGGGATTTCATATAGTCTCATCAAGTTGACCACCTACAATATGTGCAATTCTTTGTATGTAAAATACAACTGAGGGACTTCTGGTGCTGTACTCCACAAGAATGCATTGGTAATCAAAAGGCAGCCTCTCTATGACAGTACAAATCTTCAAGCAATTCCACAATAGAAAGACACTAACTTGATGGCAATGCTGTTAAAGAACAACCTTTAGTAATTTAAAAGGTTATTTATGGAAAAACAGTCAAATACTCTGCCTGCAGTTCTAATTTAAGATTTAAATAATCAATTATATTAGACTGATAAGGATAATTTATCTGACAATTCAAACAGTCATACAAAACACCAAAGAAGCATTTAACCAAAAAGGAGTTAGATTATTGAAAACAACCAAAACAGTGCAAAAAATGAAGTGTGGTTTTTGTCGACTACAACTGAAAATTGTTGACACAAGACATAAACTACCTAAGGACGATGGAGAAAAGAAAAACAGACAAAGAAACAAAAAACCCAAACTGGCAGGCTTAGAAAGTTAAAATTCATGCCCTAATGGTTGTATTGTTTTTTGTTGGGGTTTTGTTTGGGGGGTTTTTTGGGTTTTGTTGTCATTTCCCACGTTTAAATCTTGGCTTTGACAAACATAAATTTTTTTCTTTTTTTTTTTTTAAGAACTTAATTCACTTTGTTATAGAAAATCCACTATGTGATGGCCATAGCTGGAGCCTGAGTCCTCTGCACGGAGACTCTGGTGTGAGTCTTTACAAGACGATCTGTGAATTCCTGGTAGGGAGACTTAGTGAACACCGTTTCTTTCCAGAGATCTGGGGTCAGATAGCTGTAGGTCTTTGAGATGGCATCAAAGTTGACCAGGGTAGCTGTGCAGCCCCTGGCTGAGGTACCTCACTCAGCATAATGTCCTCCAGGGAAGATTTTTTGTACATTTCATGAGTTCCTTATTTTTCAATGCAGCATAGTATCCCAATGTCTGAATATACCACAGGAGAAGCCACAGACTAGGGAAAAAATATTTGGTTAATGACATGTCTGATAAGGGACTTATATCAAGAATTTATAGAATACTCAAGTACCACACATAACAAGATAAAGGTAAACAACCCAATTGCAAAATGGGCACAGATTATATGAACAGAGACTTCACCAAAGAAGACATTCAGAGGGCCAAAAAGCAAATTAAGAAATGTTCAGAATCCCTCATTTCTATACAACAACTGAGAGAGGACTCATTTTTCAGTCAGATGAAGCAGAGCAGGACAATTTAAAACAAGACTGGGACATTTTATGGTACTATATTATTTTTGTTCTGTACTGTCAACTAAAGACCAACTCACTGCTGACCCATCATCCAGTTTTCAAAGGCAGTAAATCACACAGCAATTGAATGTCCATATCCTCCCTTGGAGAAGCTAAGTGATTCGAACCATTTCCTTTGACTTTATAGCTTAATTCTTTACCACTAGGCCAAGAAAGCCCCCTAAAAATTAACAGAACAAATTAATATAATCTTCAAATGCTGAGAATATTAAGGGAAAGAATGAAAAAAAATAGAATTTGAGAAAGGGTGGTGCACAGTATGACAAATGGTGCAGCATGGCCATTCTGAAATGTGTTTACCTGCTATGAGAACACACATCTGCAAAAATGACCACACTGAAGACTGTTGTTGTTAAGTGCCGTCGAGTCACTTGCAACTCATAGCGACCCTTAGGTACAACAGCCCTAAACTCTGCTCTGTCCTGTGCCAATCACACTGTTTCCAATGCACCCATCCCAATTACCCCAGTCACTGAATCAATCCACCTGATAGAGAGCCTTCCCCTCCTGCACCGTCCCTCCACCCTCCCAAGCAGGGTGTCCCTCTCCAAGGACCAGTCCCTCCTTACAACATGTCCAAAGTATGTCAGACAAAGCCTCAGAATCCTTGCCTCCAAGAAGCTGCCCAGTTTAACCTTCTCCAGGATGAATCTCTTTGTTTTCCTAACAGTCCATGGTACCCTCAATACTCTTCTCCAGCACCACAGCTCAAAGGCATCAATTCTCCTTCTATCCTCCCTAGTCATTGTCCAACTCCCTGACACATAACAAGTGATTACAAAGACCATGGCCTGAATTAAACGCACCTTAGTCTCCAGAGAGACACCATTGCTCTTCAGAACTTTGGAAAGGTCCCTAACAGCAGATTTACCCATGGCTATGTGCCTTTTAATTACCTGGCTACTAGTGCCAAGAATGTTGACTGTGGAGACAAGCAAAGACACTGAAGACTAGGAAAGTGATTTTCCGGGTGGGTACTGGCATTCACACTGGACTATTCAAGGATCTTCTGAGACACAAGATGTTTCTTTGGCTCCATCTCACATAGAATTGAAGAGCCATTTATACTATGATGCCTCAAATTAAGACAACTCTTAATTCATGGTCTCTCTCTGGAAATGAGTTGGTTAGGAAGTCATTCCCTGGATTAGCAGGGGCACAATCTTGAGGTACTACAGTATATTGTTGTGTTTCTGTACCACAGAGTTAAATCTGACCCACAGCTAACCCTCCAAAGGTTTTCAGAGGCAGTTAATGACACAGGACAAAATTGGTCCTCCTTCTCCCAAAGAGCAGCTAGTGGCCTTGAAACCCATGCACACTATCTTTGCCACTAGGCCACCAGAGCTTGCACTATATTGGTTCAATGTAAATGACACCATACTTCGGAATTGAATTTCTGCAGTGCTACCCACATCTGCTGGCATATCCATCAAAAACCATCCCCTAAACTGTCAGGGGGTGGCAGTTTAATAGGATGACTTCCTAGTTCTTCAATCATCTGACTGAACTCATTTCTGACTGAATATCAGTTCAGGGAGAAACCATGTAATACTAGGCAGGAGGGTGAATAGTTTTTCCTTATCCCTTTATTGAAAGGTGCTGGTCTCTGTCCACATGGGTAAGTTCTGATATTGGTTCTAACACTTGTCATTAAAGAGTCCTTCTCCAAGTTCAATGACGGAGTATTACTTTCTTCAGAGGAGCAGAATTCTACAAGTCAGTTTCTCCAAATGGAATTTCTATACACTTCTAGACTTTTGTGGCTAATTGGAGAGATGAGGGGGGAAAGTCTGTTAAGAGAGATTTACTTGAATCTCTGACTGTGGGAATTTGTGTCCTTCTCTAGCTGAACTCCAAGCAAATATCCGGATTCTTTGTCTCAGTGAATTGTCCTTACCAAAGTAGAGTAAATGTTTATTATTGCTGTAGTAAAAATATTACTTCAATTTGGGAAGACCTTTCATGTACAACTCTACTGGTGTAGTGCTTAGAGGGATGTGCTGATGACTCAAAGATGCTGTGTCTCTGCTGATTCCAATCCACCAGTTGCTCTGCAGAAGCAAAGATTGACAGTCTCCTCCCATGTATTATTTAGCCTCCAAAAACCGGGTGTAGAGTCATCTGTGAGTTGTTTCCAAGTGATTTCAAGACTTAGACATTCTCAACAAAAGCTATGGTACTATGTCATTAAATGATGGTGCTGGGTCAGGACTTTCACTTCTCAGATGTATGTTTCTTTTATTCTGTGCTATTGTCTTAGTCTAGTGTCTATGAAAATTCATTTAGGGTCTTTGGAAACTCATGTGGACTCAGAGGGGTAAGTCCATGGCTTTGTCTCTCTATGCAGGCTGGGGGCTGGCTATGAAGTGAGTGGCGGGCAGGAAGCCACTTTTCTGGACAATGAGAGCCCAAAATGCAAGTCTGGGTTCTATGAAGATTCATTTAGGGTCTTTGGAAACTCATGCAGACTCAGAGGGGTGAGTCCATGGCATTGTCTCTCTGTGCAGGCTATAGTCTGGCTATGGAGTGACCGGTTGGCAGGAACACATTTTTCTGGCCAATGAGATCCCAGGATGCAAGTCTGGGTTCTATGAAAATTCATTTGGATTTAACTGGTTTTGCTCAAACATTCTTCTAAGTGGTATAGCAGTAGTCTGTCCATTTGCTGTACAGAGGTAACTCATGGTTGCTGTGATGCTAAACACTATGACACTAATGGGTCAAATGCGATAATGGTTACCCATGGTGGACAGTGTTTGGTGGAACTCCCTGATTATAACAAGCTTGAAAGCAGGAGTGGCATCCACTTCCAAAATGGCTTGCCTCTGGAAACTCTATGAAAGTGGGAAAACAATGAAAGTTATACAAGTGTTCAGGTCTTTCGTACGACTTGACAGCACATAACAACAACAAACTGGCAAAGATATGATCCCTAGTCAGATAAACTATTTGAGGCTAGTAGAAAGTCTTGCACAATTCCTTGACAAGATATTCAGGCCATAATATCTCTCTATCCTAAAAAAAATAATAAAACAGCAGCACAACAGGCACAAGGAAACAGGTAATGTAAAACCAGGCCAAAAAAGTCCCAAATAATTGCCCAAAATACATAATAAGAAATAAAAAATATACATGAATACTTCTCATGAACATAGATAAAGAAATTCTCAAAACGTTCCTCCCTTAAACTTTCCTATTTGCAAGACATGGATGAAGCTTGGAATTTCTTAAGCCAAAGAGGAACATTAGCAGAGTAGTAACAGTTTTCCAGAGAACACTAAGTCCCTGCACTCTCTCATCCAGTTACTTCTGCCCTTAAACCTTCCTGACTACAACACAGAGAGAAGGAGTAGGATTTCTTAGAGAAACAGAAAATGGAGTG